GGGTTGGGGATGGGGGTGGGGTGGCGGCGGCGGTTGGTGGGGGTTGGGGTGAGGCAAAGGAACCGGGTGGGGCGACCCACTGCGAGGCGCGGCGGCGGGACGGCGCGAGGCGCGGCGGCGCGAGCGGAGTGCCGACAGGGGTGATGCGGGCACGCAGACGTGAGGGAGGGGGGCCGTTGGGGTTTGCCGTGAGTTTGCAGGGCCGGATCTCCTGGGTCGCCCCACCCGTCTCACCTGCGACGCCGTCATGGGCGAAGTCGACGTGGGCCTGATGACGCGGTGTGCGGGGGGGGGACGATTGAGAGGGCTGCGTCACAGGGCCCCTGCTGTGCACCCCCAGCACCAACGCGCGGCACTGCAGCCTGTCCACGCCAGGGTGCAAGCGGCTGCTCGCACCACCCAACCCATCATTCTCGTGACAAGGGTTCTACCAATCCAGCCGCCGCAAACCCCATCAAAGATGTGCACAGGCGAGGATTCTGAACCAGCTGGGCCGCAGCAAACGGGCAGTTCCTGCAGCCCACGTGCACGCCAAGCGCTCACACGCACGTGCACCCGCATCCGCACACGTGCACGAACGCACACGTACACTGCTCGTGCGTCACACCCCCTTGTAACACATTCGCACCTCCCCAAAACACACACACGTACACACACGTGCACGCACCCAACTCCACGCACCGGGTCCAGCACGTTCTCCAGGAAGAGGTCAAAGGAGTAGGGCTGCTCCCGCACAAACCAGCGCCCAGCCAGGGGGGTCACGCCCTCGCCATCCAGGGCGGGGGGCAGAGGGATGGCTGCCAGGGAGGGTAGGGTGGGTGCGGTGGTAGAGGTGTCAGGGGCTCACGTTGGAGTGTGGGGGCCTGAGCATCGCCAGTGGCAGGGGCGCTCGACCTGGCGCGGCCGCAGTCAGGGGTCACGGGTGCGCACAGACAGGGCAGGCAGCAACCACGGCCGGAGAAGCTGCTGCAGGAAGAAGGTTGGGCGTGCTGCCAAGCAGGGCCGCTCTGCGTCAGAAGCCCGAGCCAACCCCACCTGCGGCGTCGCTGTCGGCTTTGGCTGAGGGCGAGGCGTCCGGCCACACCCACAGGAGGCCGCCCTTTGCCTGCGCAGACCAGCCACGCGGGTTGGGGATCAAGGGGAACCCATGGAGACCCACTCCATGCATATCACGCCGTGCTAAATGAAACGTCACAATCACCATTGCTGACAGGCGGGTAATGTTCGACGGCAGAGCAGGTGCAACCAGGTACGATCAAGCCTGATCCCACAATATCCCCCCCCCCACTCATAAAATACAGATCGCACACCTACAGGCGAGGTGGCCCCCGCCCCAGTCATGCATTCATTGCCCTTGGCGGCCCCCCTCGAAAAAAAAGCAGCCGCGCCGCGTCCTCCCAGCAGCCCCCAGCGCGCCTTCACGGGGTAGCTGGTGACACAGTTGCGGGCGCTGGAGCAGGCCGTGGCGTGGGCGGTGGCGTCACCACGCAGCTGGGGCACGTCCACGCAGCGCCCCTCCTTGGAGAAGCGCCACCCGCTGCGGTCGCGGGCAGTCGGGGGCGGCCGCGGGCGTGGTGTGCCAAGGGCGGGGGGGCAGGCTTGAGGGCAGGGAGCCGGAAGGTTTGTGATTTCTCTGCAGTCATTCTGCCGCCCCAGTTTCTGGCCGCACCGCTGCGCGGCTGGGGACACCTTCCAAACTCTCTGCTGCAATGTGACACGGCCTGGACCAGGCGAGGCGGCGTGCCCACTTGCCACCCCGCAGCTCCGTCGGCAACGCCCCGACCCCATGCCCCTGCCCCGGCCGCTTACTGGTAGGAGCACACGATCTGATCGTTGTCGGCGTCTATGAACCCGTCACTGAGCGCCGCCAGGCGGTGGGGGCAGGCGTCGTTCTGGGCGTGCCACTCGCCCTTGCTGTCGCGCCACAGCACCAGCTGGCGGCCCATCAGCGTCACCTGCGGGGGCGTGGGCGCACGTTGACGCTTGCATAGTTTTCGACAACATTCTAGTCAACGTTATCCCCTTGGCTGCCTGGTAATGGCGGACTGTGCTAAGCGATGGCTGCAGTGTTTGGTGCCGCTGGGGTGGCGCCAGAGATCCATGACCCAACCCAGGCCAGGCGCCGCCGCTGCCAGCTCTTGTGCCGCCGTGCAGGCCCCGCCGATGCAGCTGGGCCGAGAAACGAGAGCTCGCATGAGGCGGGCGTTCCGTGCTCACGGATGAGATGCGCCGGTAGCCATGGGCCCAACCTAGCCAAAAAGGGCCGCATTGCGTCCCGCGCAAGGCAGCGGCCACGCGACACAACCCACCTGGTGGGGTTTGGTCGGGTCCAGGTGCTCCTCGGCAACCGCAGGGTACCATGCCTTGGACCACACAAACTTGGAGCCGGTTGCTTGCGGTGCAGCGGCGGGCTGCGGGGTGCCGCCGTTGACGGTTGTGGCAGGGGGCGCCTCGGCCGTCACAATGGAAGCTGTCTGAGGGACAGCGATGCGGCGACGCGCCCCGTGGTCCGCCGAGCGAGCGGGCAGGCGGGGAGCATGTAGACGGCTGATGGCGGGGCGCGGGGCGGCGCCTGGAGGCAAGGAGGTTTGGTGTGGAAGCGCCGATATCAGCGGCGCGATGCCGACAGCCACACGCCTGCCCTGAGAAGCGCTGGAGAGCTGTCGAGACGTAACACCCCGTTGCAGACAATGCAATTGCTTTTTTCCAATTAATGTTACAACACGACGACATGAGCACCGCTGCTCACCCCGTGTAGAAGGACCAGCGACGTTCGTCTTGTGTAGCTGCATGGTTTCCGTCCTTTCTCTACAATGTACGGCTTCAATTGCGATCGCGTGCTCAATAGGTGGCATGAAACTGCGAACGACTTCGTCATCAACTCGCTGACTCAACTAGTGTAGGCACCCGGTGCCACCGAAAGAGAGTTTGAGAAGCTCGAATCAGCCTCCAGCAAAGTTGGCAAGAATCCCTGACACTTACAACCAATTTTCCAATACCATATTGCAGCAGATCGGTCTTACGGTCGTTGTTTGAGCTGTTGTCTGCACAGCGTGTAGCCAGGAGATGCTGATTCAAAGACTTTGCTTCCTGCTGGCTATAGTGTCTCATGTGGCGCACGCAGCAGCCAGCCAGCAGGCTGTGCCTGGCCTGCACGCCACGCAGCAGCTGCATGACCTGCACCTACCTGTAGCTGCTGCACCGCGTATGGGCGCCGGCAGACGCTTGCTGTGGTGCATGGCGGCCCAGTCACCCCGAATCAGCATAATGCTTGCGGGCGAATCACGCAAGCTGCCCGTGTGCCGGTGTGCGGCACCAGCCCCGCAGCGGCTCCAGGTGCTTGCGAGCATAAGCAAGGAGCGGGCTGGTGGCCCGCAGGGGTCTTGCGATGAGGCCGCGGGCGCAAAGCAAGCGATAGTATTTGGAGGTGAGGGCCTGGTGGGCGGGCTTGACTTTGGATGGCCTGCTGCACACAGTCGTCTCAAACCGCCCGGCTCCGGCCACACCGGCTGGCGTCTTTCGCCGCCCATTGGCCTCCCTGCCCACTACCGTAGGAGGCAATGCGCCAGCCACCGCTCGGGCCCATCTTCTCATACCCCGCCTCACCCAGGTGGCGCGCCTCTTGCGGATGATGTTCAGTGCCACGGCACACTGAGCGCCGCAGCTAGCACTTGCTACGACGGCACGCCCACCCTGCGCACCGACCGCACCTGGGAGGAGGTGTCGTGCTGCGCCACGCGCGTCGAGTGCAAGCCCCTGCCTGGCGGAGGCCAGGGCTGCCTGATCGTGGGGCGCAGAAAGTGAGGGGCCAGCGACTGCAAACCAGGCTGCTGACAGCAGCCCAACGTTACGAGGCTCTCAAGAAAACACTGCAGCTCTCCAACTGCGGCCGGGGTACTGGAGTTGCTGCCCGATGCTTTGTTGAGTGTGAATGCAACCGCTGTTGCAATAATGCAGCGTTACAAGCGGCCATACTGATGTAAGCAGGGGATCAGTTGGGGGGTGCATAACTGGCTCTGCCTTGATTGGTATTTGACAGCGAGTTGTCCAACCACTATTTCTATCAAGACTCACTCGCCCTCCCAAGACAAGCCTCACACATCCCAGCATTCCTTGCACCAAGCCACAGAATTTGTAATGTTTTACACCTGTGCCGTTGCCATGCATTGCAATGCGACTGTAGTCTCAGTGACAGTAGAGTATTTGCCCGGTCCATCCGGCCTAAGTATGGCCAGCAAACTCGTGTTAGTGGGGGCTTTGCGCCTGCAGACCAGGGACGGGGGGATGCGCGTGCGCAGCCAAGGCTAGGCATGTGACTACGCACACTTTGCAGGGTGGCAGGCAGCTCGGCACATGAACTGCAGTGTGTAGGGCAGACACCAAGCTTTGATTGTTGCTGGGCTGGACATCATCTGCTGGTTTCATATTGCAGGCCGAGGCGGCTGGGGTTGGGGCGGCGGCAGGTGGTGGTGATGACCTGCGCAGCCGGCGTGGACCTCAGGACGCGCGCCCGCGCCCGCGGCCCCGCCCCGGCCCCCCAAACCCGACCGCCTTTGAGCGTGGAAGCGGGGCCCCTGCCGCTGCGGGCGCCACCTCATCCGCCTGCTCGCCGCCCTGAAGTGTGCCCGCAACCCCAGCGACGGCCCCTGGGGTGGTGGCGTGCCCTCCAGCCCGGCCCGAGCGCTGGGCGTCCTCTCCGCCGCCAGCACCATCACTGCCAGCCCCACCGCTCTCACTGCCGACGCCGCTTCCCTCTTCCAAGGAGATGTCGGCGGCCCCCAGCGTGCTGCTGCTGCCCCCCTTTGAC